TTTTTTTTATTTTCCAAACACGGTCAGCACGTTGTGGCCGTGTTCATAGTTGTTGTTATTAAGTATTAACTTTTTTTCTTTTTTTTTTTTTTGATTAATAACTAGCTTAAAACTGCCCTATTGGGTGGCAATTAATCTATCTCCCGCGGACGGCTTTCAATTGCGTCTTTGGCTTGTTCAAGTGTTTGAAACTCCCTAAGTCTTTGCATATTCTCCGCTCCCCTGGCTGCCGTTTGATCTGGGTTTTCATTTGCACGGGACGTTCTTTGCCTCGATGCGTGATTGGCTCTTTTGATTGCAATCTGGTCTGTTGGCGGAGATTTCTTTTTGCGAGGTATACTGCCGCCTTATGCGATAGGCAACAATAAACTATAGAACTCAAAACTGATCGCCGCATTTAAGTATTACGTTAATATTTAAGCTTAACTTTTAAAAGGTAAACGATAATTATTTTGTCACTATTTAATTTAAAGACAATTTGATGTACGTAGGTCCTTACTTTCCGAACAAACAGTTATTTTATTTCATGCGTGACTTTCGCTGGATTTCGCAATAAATTTCGATTATTCCCAAATTTAGTTCAAGTTAAAAAAAATTGTTATAGTACAAAAAATTTGTCACAAAAATTCACGTAAAAAATCGTCAAAAACGATCGCAGTAATGAAAACTTCAAAATCCAAAATTTCATGATTACGGGTCCAAATCCGGTCCGGAGTCGGCCTGATTCCGCGCTGGTATGATAGGCCGGCCTCTAGGAGTAAAGTTGAAAAAGTGTGACACACTGACACACTAACATTCGCATTTATATATATTTATTAATAATACAACACAAAAATATGGAACTTTAACCTAAACTTCTACCAAAAGTGCTCAATAACTAACTCGAGCTATAATATTCAATAAACCAGGAAAAGGTCAATGGACCGACTGTGTTGTCTGATTCCAGAATTTCGAGTAAAGGTTTATCGAATATCTGTAAAGTGAAGAATACGTCGTTAATGTTTATATGTTTTATATGAAAATAACGTACAAACAGTTCGGTAGCTATTGGATAACAAGTTGTATCAAATTAGTAATAAAACATGGAGAGGCAAGTCGCCAAAATTCATCAGTGAAAATCTAAAGAAAAATTTGCCTCAACCTGGCGTCCTGTAATAATTGCCACGAAAAATACATCGGTGAAACGTTCGAGAGGTGAATATCCGAAGGTAAACAATGCACTACGTAAAGAGACAGCTGGATAAAAAAATATGTCGATTGATTACGAAGACATTCCAGACAATAAATTTTGATAGAGAAGAGCGAACAGAGATAAAGAGAGAAACAGAACAGGTTGATCAATGAAGGTTAATTTATGCACAAACATACGCACACCGGCAATCACTCACGCGCTCATGTTCAGCGCCTGTTCACAAGTCCAATCTTAGAGAGGTATTGATTTGATTGTGCTTTGTAAAGTACCAAGTTCTGTCTACAATGTACAAGTGCTCGTGCTTGGCTGTTATTCAATCCTTTCAAGCACGCCCTCAACATACAAAACAGAAGGTCCCCCCTGACCTTGCATTGTCTTCAAGGCTGATATCACCTTCCTTGAAACATCTGAATCAGTTTTGTGCCACACGTTCGTTATTCGTTAACAGTTCTTGGGCCTTTCACAATCATTAATTTCTTTTGTCGCTGCCCTTGCACAATTCTTTTTTTCACGGGTAGCTTAAAATGGTGGTGATTGCAATTTGTTTCATCACTCATTATCAAAGCTGTAAAATAAAGAATGAACAATGTTCATATGTTTTATATGAAAATAACATATAAACAGTTCAGCAACGACTGGATAAGTTGTATCAAATCATATATAACATGGAGTGACAAGTTATCAATCAGTGAAAATCCGAAAAAAAACGTTTAGCTTAACTTATAAAAAACACTTACACACACACACACACACACATACATACATACATATATATATATATATATATATATATATATATATAAACATATAAAAACAACTAATTCTAAAATTTGAAAATATTAATAAGAAACTTACTATAAATTCCTTGAATAATAAGATCATTATATTCGACTTGTTGTCAGATGGAAGACACATGCCAAGTACTTTCGACAATTTAAAATTGTCATCTTCAGAGCGCAATTTTCCCATACCTAAGCAAACTCTACGACAAAATATGTGTAGTCTGAATGATAGTAAGTTAATGTCTCATAAAAACCTGTTAGCGAAGTGATTTCGCTATTAATTGAATTAATATTGCTATTTAATTCTTTGAATAAATTGTTTCTTCATGATAGAAAATATATGCTGCACACTCTAATGACATCAGATCCGCATCAAAGTAATAATCAGAATATTAAATTCTGTAGACAACTACTAAGACATTTTTACACTACTAATTGGAACTTGAAAAAATTAAATCTAATATATATATATATATATATATATAGAGAGAGAGAGAGAGAGAGACATAGATAGATAGATAGATAGATAGATAGATAGATAGATAGATAGATAGATAGATAGATATTGTGTGTGTGTTTGTTTTAATGCTTATCACAGAGCGTACAGTTACTCTGACTCTGGTAGACGTACCGATCAATAAATCAATGTTGCAGTCATTTTTGACGGGTAATATGGTATCTTCTTCTCCCTGGTCAAACCGTTTACCTGCTAAGAATTTTAAAACTTCCCGCTGTTCGAAGGTATCTTAAGTCATCTTTTCTTAGTCTCTATTTAATAGATCGTCTGTTTCGCTTTTGTCTTCAAAAAAAAGTATCGTTTTCATTTGTCATGCAAGGATTGTTATTCTAGATCCTAATTCAAAGCTGGACTCTTTATTCCGTTTGAAAGTTACGTTCGTTTCGTATTTTTATGAACTGAATCCCCCACAGTGAAACAAAACAGTTCTTTCTTTTTTAAAAAAAATAAAAGCTTATGAACAATGAAATGTCACTTCTAAACGACGGTAGATTTTATTGTATTTTGATATGCTTGAAGTCCTGAAGAATAAGTTCTGCAACTCCGGGAAATAATAAAAAAAAAACTATTTGCTTTAGTTTTCTTCTTTTCTTCTCAATATTTCATATATGTTCAATGCTTGATTTCGCTGGATAGCGAGCGAGAACAAGTCTAGTCAAGTCTACAGCAACTGAAACAAGCAGATAACAGCGAACACGTCTGTGGTTTGAAATGTCAATTCTTTCTCAAATACAGGGTGTCCATAAAGTTCGTGTGCACTTTAAAAAATTTATAACTTTATTTGTATTTGCGATAGAAATAATCTGTAAAAAATGTTATAAAGTTTAATGTACCTAGTTTTAAGTATAGCTAAAATAACTAATGTGATTTCAGGCATTACTGTAAATCAGTTGGCAAATGTTTTCCTTGAACTGCAAAATCGTATTACCCCTTGTATTGCTAATGATGGAGGACATGTGGAAACTTAAATAAAATTTCAATAATACCTTAAAAACTATAGATTTACTTCTTTCTATATATATATATATATATATATATATATATATATATATATACATACAGCGTGTCCATAAAGTTCGTGTGCACTTTAAAAAATCTATAACTTTATTTATATTTGCGATAGAACTAATCTGTAAAAATGTTATAAAGTTTAATGTACCTAGTTTTAAGTATAGCTAAAATAACTAATGTGATTTCAGGCATTACTGTAAATCAGTTGGTAAATATTTTCCGTGTACTGCAAAATCGTATTACCCTTTGTATTGCTGATGATGGAGGACATGTGGAAACTTAAATAAAATTTCAATAAAACCTTAAAAAATATAGATTTCTTTCTTTCTAATCCTTTTTACAAATTTTTTCTATCGCAAATACAAATAAAGTTATAAATTTTTTAAAGTGCACACAAACTTTATGGACACCCTGTATATAATTCTGCTATTGTTAGTGTTTGTGCCACAGTTCAAAATAAGCTGATTATTATGACCACAATATTAAATTTAACGTTCCATATCTACCTCGAACACCGGGCGTGAGTCCTGATACATTTTTCCGAGTATTCTCTTTAATTTCTATTCATTCATTACCTACCTAGTATCACCACCCCACACTCTGACAGGTGTTCTCTTTTATTTTTGTTTTTGAATAGAGTATTCAGACTGGGACTCAAAATCTCGTATTTTTCTTGATATTCTCTAAAGCTTTTTGTGCTTAGTATCGATGTCATTTTATTTACTTAATTTTATTAAAGATAAATTACCCAGTCCCAGATATTTTGCTGTCCAGGTATATAACCGTGTCCTTTCTTATATTAATGTCTTATATATATATATATATATATATATATATATATGTGTGTGTGTGTGTGTGTGTGTGTGTGTGTGTGTGTGTCTGATTAAATAAATTACAGACATTATACCTGCTAATTTTTAATAAAATCCTTTCATACTCACGAATAACCTTCCGTGTATTGATGTTAAAGAATGAGAGAAATGTGTTTAAATTACCTTTATTTTCATTTTCCAAGTACTTTCGATCTTCTTCCAAGATCATCTTCAGGGGTGCAAGTGGCACAAAACTTTATGTTGTTCATTAGTATAGGTATTTATATAAAGATGTCCGTTGTTTTCCATTACCGTAATTTTTTCATTACGCTCTTAAATGCAAAACGGTTTAAAAAGAATAATGAAAAAATGACGTAACCTCTGATAAATACGGGATTTGTCTAAATCATTTGGTTTCGTAATGGCAGTTTAATAACCATGTAGAGGTCTATCTTTCCATCGTTTCTGCGTTTGGTGCATTGTGTTTGCTTTTGCTTTCTTTTTAGCTTCTTCGTACTTCTCCATCTCTTGACATTCTTTGCACATTAACCCAGTGAAGTAAGTTCGATACTTACTGGTTAGCCGATAATTGTGTCCTCGTGAAGCAGAAATTTAAACTGATATGTACAAGTCAGCAACTTATCACATTTTTTTTTTCTTTTTCTCGACTTTCAGTGCTGGCGGAAATGCCGTCTGCTTTATTACAATTTTTTCATCTGGGGAAAGCTGTGCCAAAGCAGGGACAAATGCGTAAGTTAACCTTCTCATCTTTCTTCCTTATTAACCTGTTACCAAACTATTGGCAGAAAGGCTTAATGCCAGCTAATCATTTTCCTCGACATTTAATGATATATATATATATATATATATATATATATATATATATATATATATATATATATATATATATATATAGTCTATCTGCCTATCTCAGTCTGCTCATATCTATCTATCCATTTCAGTTTGCTCATATCTATCTATCTATTTCTATTTTTCTGTCTGTGTCTTTCTTTCGCATTCGGTTTCTGCCTGTCTTTCTCTCTATCCAAATATCTCAGTCTGTTCATATCTATCTATCTATCTATCTATCTATCTATCTATCTATCTATCTATCTATCTTTCTATCTATCTATCTATCTAAGTTTGCTCACATCTATCTATCTATCTATCTATCTATCTCAGTTTGCTCATATCTATCTATCTATCTATCTATCTATCTATCTCAGTTTGCTCATATCTATCTATCTATCTATTTCTCCTTTTCTGTTTATTTATATCTTGCTTTTTACATTCGGTTTCCATCTATCTATCTATCACAGGCTACTTATATCTATCTATCTATCTATTTATCTCTCTTTTACATTCGGTTTCTGCCTATCTATCTATCTATCTATCTATCTATCTATCTATCTATCTATCTATCACATTCGGTTCCTGCCTATCTATCTATCACATTCGGTTCCTGCCTATCTATCTATCTATCTATCTATCTATCTATCTATCTGACTAACAAACTATAAACAAAAGGAAAACATTTCTTTACCAATGTGTTTGTTTTCCTGCAGGACTTTAAAGATAAATGTAGATATTTTTTTTGTTATTTTGCAACTTGTATTCATATATATAACTTGCATTTCTATATACAATTTAAAAAATGAAATCTCTATATATACCTTGATAAAATCGCTCAGGGGACGAAACGCGTTCTTAAAGAAACGTTTTCCTTTTATCTTTAATTGTATTGTCTTTATAGATATATTTTACTTCTATATAAATGTTTGCATAAAGAGATAGAAGGAAAAATGCAATTTAAGCAGCGATAATTAATTTAAAAGGCGGCGTCTGTTTATTCATTTGCATTTTATGGTTCTAATTTTCGAATAAGACATTAAACGTCCGAATACAAAACGGGCTTAAACTGTCCAAAGATCCTGTTTCTGTTCTCAATCATTATCAAGTAGTAAGTGTTGTCAAGTATGGCAGACAAAGGGGGTAGGTTAAAATTTAAATTTAATCCCGGTTCACACTCATCCTCCATCTTTTAAACAGAAGTAAATGTTTTATCCATTGTTTTCTGTTTAGAATTGAGGTTCTGGTTAATTCTACTAACGTCTTCTCATTCTCTTTCATTGCCCGTAACCCCTTGCATTCTGGTGGCTTTATCTTTGGGGTGAAATTGTACGCACACACACACACACACACACACACACACACACACACACACACACACACACATATATATATATATATATATATATATATATATATATATATATCAAGTATATGGTGCAGTTCAATTTACATTACATGAATCATTCATACAAAAAACAGATATAGATGTATTCTCGCCATTTATGTCATTAACTTCTTTTTGTATGAATGATTCATGTAATATCTCTCTCTCTCTCTCTCTATATATATATATATATATATATATATATATATATATATATATTAATACATATACCGACGTATATATATATATATATATATATATATATATATATATATATATATATATATATATATATATATTTATTAATATACTTTTTAGTTCTGTCTAACCACATTGAGCGCTGATTTGTTTACACCTTTAATTAAATTGAGTAAATATTTATTCGCTTACCTGTATATTCACGCTAACGCACGTATGTACGGTTTCTAATATCTAGTTATTTGATTTATCTAATATATATATATATATATATATATATATATATATATATATATATATATATATATATATATATATTATGTATGTGTGTGTCTGTGTGTGCAGGTATGTAGAAAAATAGGAAAGAACACGTTAGGTAAATAATCCAGGGTTCTTTAGTATTTTTGTTTTTACTTTTAAAAAACAGTGCTCCATACAGAAGTAGAGCTTATATTATAATTTTTTTTTTTTTAAAAATATGATTCCTCCCCTACATAAGAGTTCTCATGTTTCAAAAACGAGAGCCGAAACCATCAATATAATTATTAAAATTAAATTGGATTTAAGTAACAAGACCTGTTTCATCCTCAAGCGAAAATTTAATTCAAGTTAATTTTAATAATTATATTGATTGTTTCGGCTCTCGTTTTTGAAACATGAGAACTCTTATATAGCGAAGGAATCATATTTTTTTAAAAAATAATTATATATTTATATTTTCATACGCTCTATCTAATTTATATATTACATTCGTTCTCTTGCATTGGATATATATATATATATATATATATATATATATATATATATATATATATATATATATATATATAAAAAGTGAACATGGAAGTCAACATGCTTAGAGGCGCCAGTCTGTTTCGTGCTAGACGCAATCGTCAGGCCATATATATATATATATATATATATATATATATATATATATATATATATATATATATATATGGCGGTTATCTGAAGAAATTTCTCAATGCTTATGTAAAAAACAGGATCTCTGGATCGGATGTCGAATTTGAATTTATTTACTTGTTTAACTTTCCGTCAGCTCTATGGAAAACGTCTGTCTGTTTATTTATAGATTTACTTATATTCTATTTCAGAAAAGCGGGTGTCAGGTGGCCTGTCACTTCCGGGACAAAGCTAAATCAGGTAAAGTGCCAAGAAGAGTTTTCACTGAGGAATATTACGTTTATATAGTTATACACACACACACACACACAAATATATATATATATATATATATATATATATATATATATATATATATATATATATATATATATATTGCTAAATAAAACAGACAACGGATGTCTATTATGCCATGTTCAGAGTGGTTATTTGTACATTTAAACAAGGATATTCACCATCAAATATAATATTTTGTTATGTTGACATAGAAGATTTATATGCGACGATAACTGAAGGTCTGAATGATCCCTTATATATGTGTGTGTGTGTGTGTTTGTGTGTGTGTGTAAGGAAATATTTTGACTTCGTACAATTATATTTTAGTAGAAATGTTGACTATTGACTTTGGTGTCTTTATTCATTACTAGTACACACAAACATATATAGAGTGCTGTCCGATAAAAGTGACTCACCTGATGTTTTTTACAAAATGTTCTCTTCTCCGATGAAACGAAAGTTGAGCTAAATTCAAAGGATAAGCGATCTAAAATCCGAAGAAGAAGCTTTGAAAGCTCTTTGAATTTAGCAGTAAGTACTGTCAAGCATCCGTTCAGTATAATGTTATGGGGATGCTTTTCTTTTCATGGAACTGGTTTCTTAAAACCTATTGAAAAGACCCTCAGGAGCAAGCAGTACAAGAGAATTTTAGAGTCTTGTCTGCTCCCTTCTGCTGAAAGGGTGCAAATCGACCCCACCAAGCTCATTTTTATGCAGGATAATGCTCCCTGTCACAAATCAAAATTGATGAAGGAATACTTTGATGAGAAGCAGGTGAGTGTTATGACATGGCTGCCCCAATCTCCTGACCTCAACCCTATAGAAAACTTATGGAGCATGTTGCTCAACTGCTTTCTCGAGAGCCCGTACTTTATAATGTACCACCTCGCGAGTCACTTTTATCGAACAGCACTGTATATGTGTGTGTGTGTGCTTGTATGTATGTATATATTTCATGCAATTGATATTAAGATACTAACTGTATGAAATAATTTGCTCTGTTTAATGAAAATAAACATTAAACGCTCTTTGTGAGTCACTTTTAACATTTATTATTTAATATTCCATATTGCGTTAATAGGACTCGCTTGCATTATACCAACGGATTACTACCTGTATATATATATATATATATATATATATATATATATATATATATATATAGAGAGAGAGAGAGAGAGAGAGAGAGAGTCATTCACAGATAGACTGTTTCGCTATATCACAGCTCATCAGTGTGGATAGACATGCAATTTCTTCAAACCTGTTTCGCTATATCACAGCTTATCAGTGTGGATAGACATGCAATTTCTTCAAGCCGAGATCAAAACCCCACAGATTTGAGTCTCTCACCCTTAGGCTATCAGCGCACGCAGCGGAGGAAGGAGATTTTAACCCATTATATGTGAGATATAACCATTCTCGGCTACCAGAGTGCTCAATTTATAGCGAAGAGCTTTTAGCATTAATACCAGCAGCCAACGAATTCCCTTTCTTCTAAAGTGCTCAACCTCCGAGAGAGGGCGTATATAGTGATCCACAGATATATATATATATATATATATATATATATATATATATATATATATATATATGGGGGGTGTTCATTGTACATCTACGCATATATATAATTCTGGTATATCTCTTTATTGATCTGACGCAATATCTCTTTGTATATATTGGTTTTGTTAGTGTACGTTCATGTGTGTTTTCAAAATATCTACCTAATTGTATGTAGGCATCTATGTATGCAGGTACGTATGTCCGTGCGTATGCGAGCAATTTGAATCCCTCCTACGTATAGATAATCACATGATGCCAATGAAGAGAGTGGAGACCTTCCCTATATTTATTGGTACCCTGCGTACCATAAGTCGGGAACATCTGGATGTGACAGGTGAAGATTTGAGCCACTGTTAATAATAATAATAATAATAATAATAAGAAGAAGAAGAAGAAGAAGAACAACAACAACAACAACAAGAAATGGATTAATTGATTCGATTATTATGTCTTATCAACGCTCTTAAGGTTATTTAAATTCAGAAAATATTTTTAGATTATAAGAGTTTAGTGGAAGCGGGAGGGGATTAATAATAGTTTAGGGGGAAGAGGTGGACCCAAGGGTATCGGTGCGAAAAAAGAGAATATAACGAACCCAACGGGAATTGGAACACGGCCTTCCGATTAAATATTTCGAGCTCTTATCCATTACACCACCCGCACATCCACGCTCACATAACCAGGTATTCCCCAGCGGTCACCCATCTAGTTAGGAACCAGGTTCAACGTTGCCAAACCTCGGGGATCGTACGGGAACCAATGTTTAAACATGATATGGTCGTAAGCCAGAAGAAACAGAATAGTACTACGAATGCTGACAATTATTATTATTATTATTATTATTATTATTATTAATAATAATAATAATAATAATAATAATTTTGCTCTTCTTTAAGTGTTACAAAATATTGGAAAACATCCGTCAATCATTTTGTCGAATAATAAAAATAATAATAATAATAATAATAATAATAATAATAATTGCAAATGTAAGCAAAAACTGCTACCAATTCTCGAAGGTGATGGTGTTAATTTACTGTGAGACTTCACCAATACAAAACCGACAACTCTATGCAAGCTGAGCGACCAGATATTATCATAAAAGACATCAAAGAATATTAATACTATCTTATCATATCGTTTGATAAAAATAAATATATATTTCAGCGAAAGAATTTGATAAACTCACCAAATACAAGAATCTTGAAATAGAAATTACAAGACTGTGCCATTTACACTCAAGTTGGAGGCGAGATGCTGAAAATTAGCAAGAAAAATACTGATGGGGGAATTAAGAAAATCCCCGGAAATCCACCTTTATCGGATATACAAAAGAGTGTGTTAATGAGTACCGCTCACCTACTTAGAAAATTCTTTCAATACTTTTCTAAATTAAATCTTCATTTCCCTTACGTCTCCGAGGAAAGAATTGGTAAATTTTTGTCAAAATTAGTAAATCAAAAGGAAGGAAGGAATAAATAATAATAATAATAATAATAATAATAATAATAATAATGTTGGAAAAGATTAATTGAAGAAATTCCTGGAAGCCCATGAATTTTTTTTAAGCATTCCATCCCAAGCAAAGCGGGAAGCCACTAGCACGCAAAGGGTTACAGAGTTGGAGCGAGAACAAAGAGGAATGATAGTGGAGAGGATGAAGAGAAGGTTAGGGGATAGATCAAGGCATCTGGAGACGTCGATTGACATTACATTTGAATAGTTGGAGATTATAGCTATCAGGAAAACAGGAAAAGAGAAGGGAGTTCCACAGGCGAGAAGTGCGAGACATGAAGCTATTGGAGTAGAAGAGACGGCTACATTTAACAGTTTCGACAGTGAAAGGGTGAGAGCGGGATTCCAGCCTCGTAGGACGCTTGAATTGATGAAGTCTGGGAACTAGCGAAAGCAACTCATCGGAGCAATTATCATGAAAGTATTTGTAAAAAAAAAAACAGAAGGAGGCGACAGCATGTCTGTGAGAGAGCGACTGCAGACGAGATGCCAGATCAGGGCCAGTTGCATAAAAATTGTTCTCACGAGTACAGCCCACACTTTCCAGTGGAAAATATCATGATGACATTTCTAACCTTAGGTCCCTGGGCGGGACCCGGAAAGAAATGAATACACATCAGAAAGCAAAGGAAATAAAATAATAATAATAATAATAACCACAAACAAAAACGATGCCTCCTTATTGATATGGCAGTCCCTGCTGACTGCAATGTATCTTTGAAGATATTTAAAAAGTTGTCAAAGTACAAGGATCTTGAAATAGAAATCTCGAAAATGTGGCATATGGGAACATCAACAATCCCTGTTGTAGTTGGAGCCCTAGGACTGGTTGGAAAAGATTGCAGTAGACTAATTGAAGGGATTCCTGGAAGTTCATACCTCAAGGAGATACAAAAAATTGTTCTGACAAGTACAGCCCACACCTGACGAAGGGCTTTATCTATGTAATTTTTTTTTATTTTTTTTTTCTGTCAGTGGAAAGCGTCATGATGCCATTTCTAACCTTAGGTCCCTGGGCGGGACCCGGAAAGAAATATGTAAACGCCAGAAATCAAAGGAAATAATAATAATAATAATAATAATAATAAGAATAAGAAGAAGAAGAAGAAGAAGAAGAAGAAGAGACTTATAAATTCAGTACAAAGGTGAGACTGAATGTAGTACAGTACCTGTTGCCAGATCAGGAACAATTACATCATAATAGCTGTTGGAATCTACCAATAAAAATAGACTTGTTGTCTCTTGAAGTCCCTAATCATAACTTGGAGGCAACTATTATCACACAAAGGACTGATAGGAAAAGATTGCAGTAGAGTAATTGAAGAGATTCCTGGAAGTCCATGCCTCAAAGAGATAGAAAAAATTGTTCTGACAAGTACAGCCCACACTTTACGAAGGGCTTTATCTATGTAATTTTTTTTTTTTTTTTGTCAGCGGAAAGTGTCATGATGCCATTTCTAACTAAGAAATGTGTAAACACCAGAAATCAAAGAAAATAAAAACAATAATAATAATAATAATAATGCTTTACTCCAGTGGTTTGGCCGTTGTACGCTCCGGCCTCCTCCTGGTTCTTGCAATGTCGAACTGAACCCATTATTTTGTTCACTGGGATAGACTGTTCGAGTTCCACGTGCCATGTCTAATAATAATAATAAGAGACTAAGAGGTTCAGTACAAAGGTGAGACTGAATGGTTTATTCTTGCAAGCACAGAACATGGTCCTTGTTTGGGCAACTAGCAAGCTAATATCTTGTATAATAGTACGGACGCCAAACCAAGATTCTGTGACCAATATATTGAAACCGTTGACCATCTTCTGCTCAATATACACACAGCTTATGGCCACATCACGTTGAAACACCTGTTCTCGTACGATCACCGAAGTTAAGCTACGCCAAGCCTGGTCATTGCTTAGATGGGTGACCGCTTAGAAATACCAGGTGCAGTAAGCTTGGATGCCCTGTTGATGTAATGGATAATGGCTTGGAATTTTCAATCGGAGGGCCAAGTTCCAATTCCATTCGGATTCATTATATTCTTAGACACAGATACCCTAAGGGAAGGAATGAACCCCCCTCTTCTCCCCCAGCTATGGGTTAATTAGTAGGACTGCTATCAGTCAATCGTTACCTCTACAAAAATAATTCTTACGATGTAAAATATCAAACAATCAATATGCACACACAATATTTTCAACATGCGAAACAATAAATATTTCCATTGAAAGATCTGTCATCACTAGGGGATAAAAACAGTTGCAAAATGGTATGGCCATCATCCTGTTTGTGTAGTTAAAAGAGCAGATGTCGCCATCACCTGGCATTTTTTTAGCAACTCAGAACGAACAATAGAAGCAAATTGCTCAAACCTTACCAAAGACAGAAAAGGAAAAGTTTACACATTGATTGACATGAGCGTGTTGGGGTGGGGGTATGTTGGCCCTCAAACAGATATTGACTGAGCGAAGACAACAACAAACAAAACGAAAACTTGAGTAAAAAAATATATTGCCAAGTTTATTTTCGTTAAATTAATTACATAAAAAATAAGTTTTCAGTGCAACAGGCAAAAAAGATCTCTGCATTCTGATGAAGAGGTTGAGAAGAGTGTTGTCCCAAGGAGGACAGTTTTGGTAGTCGTGGAAAAGGGTTGTCCTAAAAAGGACAGTTTATTGAATATCGTTGCAGCTGGCGAGGATGGCTGGTGCAATATAGGGAGGGGAATATTTTAGCGATGGCTGGAGCTGTATGTAGCTGGAGGCCTTCTAAAGATGGTTGGAGCTGGATGTAGCTGGATGGAGCTGGAGGCCTTCTAGAGATGGAGGGATCGATGGAGCAGGAGTTCTTCCAGAGATTTCTGGAGCTGTATGAAGGAGCAGGTCTTCTGAAGAGTGTTGGAACTGGATGAAGCCCTTCTAGAGATGGAGGGATGGATGGAGCAGGAGTTCTTCCAGAGATTTCTGGAGCTGTATGTAGCAGGAGGCCTTCTGAAGAGTGTTGGAGCTGGATGGAGCAGAGGGCCTTCTAGAGATGGCTGGATGGAACAGGAGGCCTTACAGAGATGCTTTGGTGCTGGATGGATGGAGCATGGGGCATTCTAGAGATGGCTAGAGCTGGATAGAGCAGGAGGCCTTCTAAAGATTGTTGGAGCTTGATGAATGGAACAGAAATTCTAGAGATGGCTTGAGCTGGATGGAGCAAGAAGCCTTCTAGGGATATCAAGAACTGGATGAAACAGGAGGCCTTCTAGAGATTGCTGGAGCTGGATGGAGCAGGGGGCCTTCTAGAGATGGCTGTTTGGCTGCAGGTGCTACTAATGGCTGATCCTAGTTTTCTGGCCTTTTTTATATCCTGAATCAGTTTTAAAACGATCGCTAGTTAAGCTCATTTTTAAAAATGTGAAAGTGCCAACTGGATACGACAAGCGCGCCACGTGATAAAATCATTTCGGTGAAGGTTTTGGGAAAACTAAGCAAATAAAAAGACCCAGAGATTGAAATTCATTTCTATGTGCAATGCAAAAGATATAGTACTAATGAATACCGCTTACCTATTTCATCTACTGGTACCCTTCTAGATGATGAGTGCACTCAGGTCGAAGTCGCGATCCGCCTTGGACTCAAATTATGTGAACGTCACAGATACAGATGTGGAGCTTCCATTGATGAGTTTGGTTTGCATCCTCTCTCCTATCGTCTTAGGGCCGGCCGCTTTCCACGGCATGCAGCAATAAACGACATCATCAGAAGAGGTTTAGATGCAGCTGGGTTCCCTTCCCAAATCGAACCCGTAGACCTCGACCGCGGTGATGGAAAGCGGGCGGATGGCCATACCATTTTCCCTCTTAAATTGGGTAAGTCGTTGATTTGGGATGCGACCTGTGCAGATACATTTTCGGCCAGTAATTTGATCAGGTCCACGCTTGAGCCAAGGTCCGTCGCCCGGGACTCAGCTGAGATAAAATAAAATGCGAGGCCAATTTTACTAATTTGAGGCTCTCTCTGGATCAACATCACCTCGCCTGTCTACTACCTGCTTCACAACCGACTAGTGGCGCCTGACTCAACGCAGTGCCCTCTTCATCTACCGGTACCCTTCTAGATGATAAGTGCACTCGAGTCGGAGTCGCGATCCGTCTTGGATTCAAATTAAGTGAGCGTCACAGATGCAGATGTGAAGCTTCCATCAATAGTTAAATATTCTTCTCTTGCTGATAGATTTTTTTTTTTTACTCCTGTGGCAGTGGAGACTTCTGGGCTTATTGGCCCTCGTTTGATGTCGTTTCTTCGGAGGATTGGCGCGATTGCGTCTCGATTAAGAGACGAGCCTCGTGAAACGGAGTGGCTCTTGCAGCGTGTCTCACTAGCAATGGTTCGAGGTAATGCTTTCTCCATCATTGCGGCTAGCAGAGGATAGCAAAAAAAATTGTTTATAGTTACTTTGTTCAAGCTTTTTTTCAATAAACTTCAAAAATGTTTTCCAATAATTTCCTAAGAAAAATCTTCATTTATCTTTGGCCTCAACAGAAAGAATCGATAAAGTATTGTATCAAACAGGAAAGTAAAAGATATAAATAAGAATAATAATTGTAATTATAGTCATTAGTAATAATTCATGTCGGAATGAATGGACTTGGCCCACTACAAAGAAACTTGATATAACGCTTTGGGAAAACTGGAATTAAGACGAAGATTAAAGGCCATCCGAAAACTGCCATCAATTACTCCGTGATGATTCTCCAATATGTTCTTGATTTTTGAGGAGGCTTGTTGACACCATGCTCCAAGAGCATAATTTTCATTGATAACAATGTGCAAAATAATAATAATAATGGCAGTTCATGCAGATTTTAATGTATGTTTGAAGATCTTAAAAAAGGACAAGGATTTTGAACCGGAAATCGCAAAAACGTGGCACACGAGGACATCAATAATTTCAGTTGTAGTTGGAGCCCTCGGATTGATTGGAAAATTTTCTGATAGACTCATTGAAAGGGTTCCTGGCAGTACACGTCTTGAAGAAATACAAAATCTCACTACGAAGAGCTTTCTCTATGCAAAATATGTGTGATCTTAGGATTTTGGCTTGTTATGTTTCTGTTTTCATAATAAATATTGTTGAAAAACGCCTGATAATTATGCACCAACCCAATATATAGTGTAGTATATACAGGGTGTCCATAAAGTTCGTGTTCACTTTAAAAAAATTATAACTTTATTTGTAGTTGCGATTCAAATAATCTGTAAAAAGGATTAGAAAGAAGTAAATCTATATTTTTTAAGGTTTTATTGAAATTTTATTTAAGTTTCAACATCTCCTCCATCATTAGCAATACAAAGGGTAATACGATTTTGCAGTTCACGGAAAATATTTGCCAACTGATTTACAGTAATGCCTGAAATCACATTAGTTATTTTAGCTATACTTAAAACTAGGTACATTAAACTTTATAATATTTTTACAGATTATTTCTATCGCAAATGTAAATAAAGTTATACATTTTTTAAAGTGCACACGAACTTTATGGACACGCTGTATGTATATATATATATATATATATATATATATATATATATATATATATATATATATATATATATATATAGAAAAGAAAAGAAGTAAATCTATAGTTTTTAAGGTATTATTGAAATTTTATTTAAGTTTCCACATGTCCTCCATCATTAGCAATACAAGGGGTAATACGATTTTGCAGTTCACGGAAAATATTTGCCAACTGATTTACAGTAATGCCTGAAATCACATTAGTTATTTTAGCTATAATTAAAACTAGGCACATTAAAATTTATAACATTTTTAACAGATTATTTCTATCGCAAATACAAATAAAGTTACAATTTTTTAAATTGCACACGAACTTTATGGACACACTGTATGTATATATATATATATATATATATTGATATATATATATATATATTTATAATCTTGAAAATAAATCTATAGTTTTTGTGTATTATTGAAATTTTAAATAAGTTTCCAAACAGTCCTCCATCATTAGCAATTTTGTCCCAATAATCGGAATTTGCAGTTCACGGAAAATATTGCCAACATGATTTTACAGTAATCCTAAATGTTTTCTTCTTTTAGCTATAATTAAAACCTTTAGGTCATTAAACTTTTATAACATTTTTACAGATCCGGCTACCGGTCTGCAAATTTTTATTCTTTTATACATTTTTTATCTTTCTTTTCTTTTCTTTACACTTTATATGTATACATATATATATATATATATATATATATATATATATATATATATATATATATATATATATATCTATATATATAGAAAGAAAGAAGTTTCAATCCATTTTTTTTTTCATTAATCTCTTTTTATTTTCTCTTTCTTGTTTTCTTCCTTTCTGCCAATCATTTACTTTTTCTATTTTGCAGTTCACGGAAAAATATTTTTCTCAACTGATTTACTCAGTAATGCCTTTCAGAAATCTTCCTTATTTATTTTAGCTATATATAAAATATATATATAAAATTTATAATATTTTTAACAGATTATTTCTATCATAAATATATATAAATATAATTTTTAAATTATATATAAATATTTATGGATATACATATATATAATATAATATATAGCATATTGCTATTGATATAGGGTGTATATATATATATATACATATTTTTATATCTAATCTTGAAAATGCATATATAAATTGTGTTTGTGTATGTATTTATAATAATATATATATATATATTTAATGGAGACAAATTTTGTCCTAACTAATCGGAATCCACTGCATTCCCTGACGTATAAAACATGAATAACGAAAGGGAATCTAGTTCTTTAATTCTGTCTTCTACTTTACCTCACCTTATTTTTTACCTCACTCGGGTTTTTTTCTTCGGACTCTGAAATTGGATGCTAGACGGCGACTTCGGTCTGAGTCGTCCTCTTTTTATTTTTTTTCT